CGCCTTTCGAGATGCTGTTATTGAATGACCTATTCTTGCTGCCATTCTTGCATTTTTCAGGTTTCTATCTGTTGTGGGTTTTTTTATATATATTTTTTAATTTTTTGGGAACACACTCTGAAAATTATCATTTTTTGTTCTTTTTTTTTTTTCAATTTTTAATGTGTTTAATTGAAAGGCAATTTATTACATAGTTGTTTTTTTCCTTAAGATATGTTTTTAGCTACATCAAGCAGTAAATAGAGCTGTCAATTTGGTCCGCGGGCCGCCTCGCCCCGCCCCGTCAACGTGGCGGGTTGGGCTTGATTTTTCTAGGATTGCTTGAGAGCGGGCCTAAACGGGCCAGCCTGCATGAGCTAGGCGGGGCGGGCTAACCCGCGGGCCGGCCCGCTGAACCTGGGCACTGGGCATGGGCGCGGCATTGGGCCTGGGCGCGAGGGGCCTGCTGGCTGGGCGCGGCTATACGATGAGCAAATAATTCATGCCGCAATTGCTTGTTTTGAATTTCTGGCCGATGCACTTCAATTAATTCACCTATGTGTTCCTTCATCAGTGCATTTTCACCACTAGGGTCGAATACCGAGAGACTCGTCGCTGGGGTCGGACACCGAAAGCCGAACGACCAATCAGGTCGAAAATCATTCGTTTTTGTTATAAACTTGTTCGCATTTTATAAAATCGTGTATTTTGAGTTTGGGGCCCTTGCAAATTTAAACTGAGTCAGGTGACTTACATGTCTATGTTGCACCAATTTTTCTAATCACAAAATCAGATCCACGTATTTCATTCTGTCCAAATTTTTCTAATCACAAAATCAGATCTACATATTTCAAATTCAAATTTTTCTAATCCCGTCCGCCCACCATAAAAATCAGAAAAGGAAAACTCTATAAATAATTTCATCCTGTTCGCCCACCTTCGGCCACCGCCTCCAACCTTCGCTTTCGAGTCTCCAACCTCTGCCTCCACTTCGATCCACATATTCGGCTGCTGATTTTCTCGTCGAAGCTCGAAGTCGGGCTAACGATTTTCCTGTTGAAGCTCGACGGTGCGGGAATCGAAACAAGTGTGTTCTGATTTTCACTGGTTGTTTAGGAAATTATTGCTGAATTTTTTTGTGAAATTATTGTTGAATATATGAATCTTTTTGCTTGGAGTTGGAACATCTTTCTTTGAATATGAATATTCGCACTGACTGCTTGTATTTGGTTGTAAAATGAAGTTTTTTCTTTTCTTTTCTTTTTTGTTTTTTTGTAAATGGCGAGCCAGGCCCGCCAAATCCGCAGCCCATGGCGGGGAGGGTTGGGCAAGCATTTTTCAGGCCCGCCAGCCAGTCCGCCCCGCCCCGCCTCGCCATTTGGCGGGCTTTGGTGGGGTACGGGCCGGCCCGCCCCACCAGCCCGTTTTGACAGCTCTAACAGTAAATATCAAACTGGGTTCGTAGAGTACTATATTCTTTACATCAAGCAGTAAATGATACTACCTCCTTTTTTTTTTAAATGTCATTTTTGTTTTATCAACAATTAACTAAATAAATGGCGTTTTGGATTTTTTGAACATTTTTTTTCATTATTACCCTCAACTAGCTAATAAATACACTACGCTTTTTCATATTAACTCTTCATCTTTCTCAAAACATCAATCTCTTTATCTTCTCATTAATGAGGGTTATTATTGACAAAAATAAAATTCTTAATTATTGTGCAACTTCTCAAAACGACACTTATTATTAAAAATAGGAGGGAGTATAATTCTTGTTCATCCCAAAAAAGGAAAATCCAAGTAGAGTTTATGACTTTAGGCCCATACCAAACATAGACGTATCCGACACATGTAAAGGCACACCCAAGAAATCTCTAATGAAAGCCTTAAAACGAGAGAAGGCGTGAAGAATTGAGGACAAAGAAACTAGCAACACACAATTTTTGTTTGGCTTGAGAAGCTTCAGCACACGGCATATTCACAAGCAAACGGTTACAGCACTCAAGTTGTGATTTTTGGAAAATGAGTTGCGTGTTTGATTGGAAGATTTAAAGGAGAAGCTTGATAATTTTACTTTTTCTTTGGTATGATATATTTGATGATATGATATAGTGAATCTTATTTCGAATTCTCGCGTTTTGTTTTTCGTAGTTCACTAGACGTGTGGAGATATTTTGGAATTGTTTTTAAAAAACATTGTAATTGATTTGTTCTAGTGAATGTTTTGGCACGTTGCCTTAGTTTACAAGTAATTTTCACTTGTAGGCTAAATTTTGAATCTTTCGTGTTTATTTATTTTCTGCTGCTTATTTTATTTTTTATCTTCGTGTAAAAATGTGAAATTTTTGGTACCTAAATTTCTAACATAAATATTAAATAAAAAAACTGGTAAAAGTATTTCTTTAATGTTATTTATAATTATATATTATATAATTTTAAAAATATTCACTTTTATGTATATATATATATATAGTTGATTTCTAATAAAAAAAACACTAAAAATAAATAAATCATAGTATTACACAATCTAAAATAGCGTTCTCATGGTTAGTTCTTACAATAAAATTTGGTCTTATATGGATTACATCTGACATATATCTTACAATAAAATTTCGTCTTATTTGGATTACATCTGACATATATAAATGAAGTTGATGAAATATTGCACATTCAAACTAAAACTAAACATTAATTCCCTTAATGACCATGGATATATGTGGTGTGGAAAGTAAGAAAATATGAAGCTTTAAGGAAGTCTTTGCCTATACTTTTGCCTTAAGAGATGGAATTCCGTGGAAAAATCAATTGTAAGTATATTATTTATTTGTCTAATTAACATTGAAAAAAAATATATAGAATATACTAATCGAGAAACGATACTATCCATGTAATGATGCATGTGTTACTTATCTCTTCCTTCGGAATAATGCCGAGTTTTTTAAAGTTGAATTATCATCGTTAGCACTTTACATAAAATTCAAAGGCATTATTTTTTATTGTATATACACATATATTCATATTCGTGTGCTGTAAAAAAACACCCATATAATTATTTGTGCATATATATTGATCCAACTG